TTAGCACAAAAGAATAAACTAGTTTACATAAGCTGTATAATGAGAATATATTTATATTTAGAGATACAATTTTTTTTCATACATCTTACACGATTTTTATTAGCAGCTATCTGCGTTAGTAGCTCTCGTGGCCGATGACCCCATTTTTTTTCTTCTGCATCACTCTCATGTTCGCTTTGACGTGGAAAGGGTTCGATTATAGCATTAAGGTAGTAGCTTAACGCCCCGGATGGCGGAAAACACGAGAGTTATGGCTCGTTAAGTATTGCAGTACCTACTACACAAGGGAATACACGCGAAGTTAAGTAATAGTGTACTCGTCGTACACTAACTAGCTGTATGAAACAATACGATGTATTTTTTAGAGATTTTCCGGCCAACTTGGAAACTATATATTACTACGTTGTGTGTAACATTATTTATATGACAGTATTTATCTTGATGCGATGTTAAATAAGTAAATAAGTATAAAATTCGCTACCATTTAGAAAATCAAGATATTGCTCGTCCGTCGAAGCATATTAATTAATAAAAAGTAAATGTTTGAAATCTTCCGTTGTAAAGTTAAACATACCACATTGGACTCAACCATCGACATTTATTACGCAAACTTAATGTTAAAGTACAAATCATATTAATTGAATACTCAATCAATGTTATTCTACTGTTCAGCTATTACACGATACTAATAATGGCAAATGCTAGTACATTTTAGACATAACGATTCGCTTTAATTTTTTTACTATTCTGTATCCAATATACTGAATTTATAATGATATTTAGAACATCCGTGAAATTATCGAAAATACAATTTTCATTTATTATTAAAAATGTATTATTAAAAATGTTAGCTGCATTCGATTTCGCAATAAAATAGGTACACTGCGTTATAGATATTTTTAAATACTAAAATATTAATATACATATGAGAAACAATTTTTGGGTTAGAAATAGCGTAGTGTTCAATAATGAAAAATTTATATAAGCTACTCTAGGTTGTTTAAAAAAGAGTTTTTTTCATCGTCAGTTTATATACTGGAAAAACCTAAACATTCAAAGTGCATTGTCTTTTAACTAAAGATAAACAAAATGCATTTGTTTAACACTTTTAGTAATTATATTATTAATTGTATTTAAATTGTTTAGTAATTCTGTTTAACAAATCACTAATTGACATGTTTTTTTTTGTAAAATACGCAGTTTTCATATGACTTTCTTTTCGTTTTTTGAAAATTATAAATTTTGGACAAAACGCATTTTGAAAGTCTACTCTTTATATATACGAGAATTATATCGAAAGTAATAAACATTTTTTATACATTAGAATTTTTATTATTAAAAAATCAAATGAATTGAAACTGTTCAAGGGCGATCGCTAATATCATAGATTGTGTCAATATGATCCTCAATTGAACGTAACAAGAAAACGTTGATAAAATAATTAAGGCAAAAGAAATTGTAAACGAAAATTGCAATAATATGGAGACAATCCACAAATGTATCATTATCTAATGTATCGTTATCTAAACTATCTTTGGATAGCTAAAACGGAGTTCTACTATAAAGGAATATTCAAAATTTCTAGAATGACGGAAAAATATATACAAAAAAATTGAGATTACATAGAAAGGTAACCAAAAGTTTATAAAAATTAAAAATACACTTCATTTTCAAATAACAAAAAATCAGGGATGAGAAAAAGTGACGCCGTTAATTTTGCTATCAGTTTTTGTAATAACGATTTAGTTGTACAAATGTAAAAAGAGTAAAAAAATAAAGAAAAAGTAACTCGTCATTTATAACATATTGGCGCGTTTACATGCTATTTTAACTTGTCGCAAGTAATAAGTTATTTTTTTCAATAAATAATACGAAATGGTGACAAATTGCTTTTGACTTTCTCAACCTCAGCTTTCAGTTAGTTATTGTTATCACCGTAAAAAAATTGCGTTTTTACTGAATCGATATTATAAAAGAAATAACAAAAATAAATGGCATTACTTATTTCTCATTTTTACAAAAAAATTTAATTTATAAAAAAATTGTTACTTCTTACTTTCAAGTTAGTTTATAGTTTTTGTATGATTCGTATTATTTTACAATATTGTTATTAAATTACAAACGATTAAAAAATTCGTAGTAAAAAATAGCGATGTGAACTTTACTCCACGCGATATTTCTATAATTTATTATAGAATTTATTATTACTTATAATTTCTCTGCATTGGCATTAAATTAACATCAACATAATTGATTTAACACCATAGATTTTAAAATCATACTCATGATATTAAATCCATACCATGATGGTATCGATATAAATACCACAGGTTTTAAATTCACATCGTGTTGGTATTAATTTAATTATGACATAATATTTAATATTGATATTAATTTAACACCAACATGGTGAGTATATAGACACCGCATGGATGTTAAATTCACACACCGACATTTTTTAAAATGTATAATTTCTGCTCTTTTCTCTTCCATTCTCACATACACACACACACACGCGCGCGCGCGCGCGTGCGTGCGTGCACAATTCACATGTATAATATCAAGATCTCAACTCTTGACACAATTTGACAAAAGTTGGCACAGTACAATGCAGCGGATATAAAATACACCGGCGACAGTCGGTCGTTTGACAAGACGAACCGTTACATTCTTTGAGAAATGTCGTCGTCGGGGATGGTCTTCATTATGCCTCGCTTCCGTAAGTCGCAACATGAAGATTCCGAGTCATGTGAGTCGTAAAAAAATGACGGTTATCACACGGAAATGGAAAATTGTGAAAATCTCGGCATATTGTGGAAAACGACTGCCTTTACTGTGCAAGCCCAATGAATTTCTCGTTTGTGCAATTCAGCCGAGTAATCTAATGAGCAAACGCCGCGAACTTGGCGCGCGGACCGGAAATTGAAATATACATTATGAAACGTGCCATTGGTGCGGTGTTTCCTATGCAAGCCGCGTGTCGCCGTCGCCGCCGTCGCCATAGTCGGCATCATCGTCGCGATCGCGAAACCAGGTCGCGCGTGTCGCGCGCGCCTTATCCCCGAATTCACAAGCATCGCACTGGAGAAATTGCAGTTTTCTGATTCGCGGCCGTTCCGCGGTCTGTAACGATGAATATTTAGCGACTAGTACGTGACTCCGTTGACTATCCGGGTTGAGCTGAAGGATCGTTTTCAAAAGGAATCTTTCTCAGACGAACATAACTCGCGAAATAGGGAAAATATAATTTATTGAGTTTGCCAGATGTATATCCTTTAGATGTCTTTCTCCGCATTACCCGCAATACTATTTCTCTCATAATAATTTTTCGCATAAATCCCGCGCACCCTTTATACAGAGGTAATAGCAGCGACGTTGGATTAAAAACGCTCACGGATTTATCATATGGCGCGCGATATAAATGAAATATAGAGTTACACTCTGGTATACCGCGATAAATATGATAATTCTAATTTAAATTACTCGTTTCTATGTGATATCCGCAAAGTATCCTGAGTGTAGTTATTGTTGTTACTTTTGTCTGTTTATAATTATTCCGCGTGGCACATTGTATTCATGCGTAATTTCTTCGCGGTTACAATTTCCGCAAAATTATCGAGTCTCATATCGTTGGAGAATAATTCCTCATACTAATCATACATATAAGATATGAGAGTCTTCGCGATAAACTTTGTCATCAAAATTGAACGTAGCTCTTAGCTTAAACTATAACACCATTTCCTGCTGAGAGCTTTAGGATGACAAACCGTCGCAAATTGACGATTCAGAACAGTTTCGTTTATTTATGAGTACTCTGATTGATAAATATGACTGTAAAATTCATGTTTGACTCTCTCTCTCTCTCTCTCTCTCTCTCTCTCTTTCTCTCTCTCTCTCTCTCTCTCTCTCTCTCTCTTTCTTTCTCCGATCTCTTTTGCTTAACTTAGCCGATCAAACTTCATCAGTGGATAGAATTTACGCGCATAATTAATCTTTTATACAACAGGGATTAATTAACTCGTGCAAATTTATTCGCAGCCAAAGGTTCTGTACATCGGTCGCTATTATCATAGATACTGAGAATGAATGATGCGCAGTTCGGAAAACGCCATTATTACTTGAAATTTTATTGAAATTATGTGTAACATCAAGTGTACGACAAAATTACATTTTAGTAAAAATTCTATAGTTAAACAATTTCGAAAATCAAAGGATATGAAATAAAAATTTTTTCTCTATAAATAAACCGATTCCATTTTATTATTAATTTATTCTTTTCGGAGAATATATTTATTTTTCATATGCATTCTGTACTGTATGCTTCTATAATATAAAATTAAATTAAACAATTTTCAACCGAAAAGGAATTTTCTGAATCAAATTTCAAATTTAAACATAGATTATTATTATTCACTACAATAGTTGTTTTACGTGCCAAGTTCGATCGCCACAATAATATAAACATCAAAGCGAATATCAAGTGCCTACCGATTTTATAATTATATTACTCGTATAAAAAGACGAAAATTGAAAATTATATGAACATTTATTTCTCATAATGGGGATTGGTCAAAACTATTGAAAGAATCATTGCGTTATTAAACGAGAAAATTGTACTCGTAATTAAATCTGAATTAATAGCACCTCAGATTATCCATTTCATATTATTATATGTATTGCAACAATTTTCGTATTTATCGTCTAAATATAAGTACTCATGATATAAAGTATCCATTATACAATGATTTGTCTGTCTCTACGTTTTCTATATAAAGAATAATTATACGATAAAAATCTTAATTTAGATGATCCATTGAAACTCAGATGGATATTCATTCTGTCAGTAATGCTTTCATATATTTCTACAGAAAAGTAAAAGAATATTCGAATTATTAGGAAAAATGAATTATAATGGAATTATTTCGCTATGTTCAAAGAATGTTTGAAATGTTATTTCATATCTTTTAATTTATAATTTTTTCATTTCTGTGTTTGCGCAGGAGTGGACGGACTATAATCTCCAGTGGAACGAGTCCGAATATGGCGGAGTGAAGGACCTTCGAATTACACCGAATAAGCTTTGGAAACCGGATATCCTCATGTACAACAGGTAATCTGGCCTCGTTACATCTGCGTAGAAACTCTCATTTTGTATTGACAAACCAGTAGCTTCGATTAATAAATTTGTTAGGAACATTTCAGTCTCAAGCGCGAAAGGAGGGTTGGCCAGTCCCTCCCATAATAGAATTCTTAATTGAAATGGTCGGACAAAAAGCCGCGTACTAACTACGCTCATAATCATCGTGTTAATAAAGTGTGCCCAGTAAAAATATACGTCTGTTCCACAGTCTGTTCTGATTTCAAAATTTCGCGCTCTAAAACTCGGAAAGTATTTTAATATTTAAAACGATCTAATTGCGTGAAGATATTTAAACCAAGATAATTTTGAATTGATAATAACAGCGTAAAAAGAGAGAAAGAGAGCAAAGTCTAATTCTTCTCATGTTATAATACTCGGAGAATAACGGCAACCGAAACTGTTGACGCGAAAATAAATATACGATAAGTTTACGTTATATCAAATTTTTATTCCTCTACACAATATTAAGTAATTCACCGTGATTTAGTTGCAATTGCTACGTATCGATGAGGCTAACCCACGGGATTTCTGTTAGCTCGGTCGCGATTCTAGGCTGTCAATATTTCAAGAGTTACCGTTACGCGAAATCGTCGAAAAACCGACAACCATACAAACAATTTTATATCAACTCGTAGGATCCACATGACAATCGCAAAAGTACAATCGCAATCGTGAAATAAACTGGTGCGACTTTATTATCGTAAAAATAAAACTGCACGAACTATATTTGCCTCGAGTAAGCAGCCCACGTTGAATTTCTTCAATGGATTTTAAACAGCTGCCACTTGTCCGGAAGGCACACCCCCTCTGCAGTCTTACGAGAGAGAATTAAGATTTTTAAGAATGTCTTTTTCAGAAAAGCTGCGACGGCTAAGAAATAGCGCGGCAGTAGCGCCACTGCAGCAAAAGTTTTTTCATTAACTTTAAGTTCGCTCCCTTGGAGACACTCCATACGGAGCGTAAATTATTTTCGATGTATACCTCGTACTCTTTTCACGTGCCGTTACAGTATTGCGAATGTAGTATTAAAAAAAAAAAGAAAAAATCGAAGGGTACGTAACTTTTATCCTAGTGTTGCTTCGCATCTATCTTATTCGAAAGTATTATAAATATTATACATATATATATATTTCTTTTATATATTAAAATTCCCTGAAGTGCATGCATTTACTTGAATCCTAGTAAGAGTCGAGTATATATTATATATTTATATACTCTTGTACTATGTATATCTTTACATTTTTCATTTGTAAATATTGTATCCACGTAATTATTGACCCTGATCGTAGAAATTTTTCTTATATGACGGATCGACTCGCTTCTCGCTTCGTATCACTCTCTATACAATTTATATTTCGTCGCAAATAATAATAAATGTACGAAGTCGCGAAGCGAATCGAGCCAAACTTTCGAACGCAGTTATTACGCAGATTTTAATTGAAAGGCTAGAGTATATAACGAATTGCATAAGTATCAGTCATTTTCATTTATCGAAAAATTCTTAAGTCATCCACGTCGTACGTACGTTTCGCGAGGAAAAGCAGAGATTTGCAAGGAAAATTATTTGGACAATCACTATTTTATGATTGAAATGGCTCGAAGAACGAACGTGACGTTGAGAAAAAAATATCAAATCAAGAATCTCCGACTTAAAACAATCTCTTCTTTTTTTAGAAATACAATACGCCGTGGCTGACTTATAGTCTCAGCCATTCTCTCTATCATAGTCTCTAGAATAATTAGTCTTAGGTATTTATAGGCTACTAGTTATATATAATACAATTTCCAGGCTGCTGTACGTGAACGCATTTATGCGATTCACGTTCGGCGAACCGCAAAATTAATACTTCCGTCGCCCGCTGCCAGCCGATTCGCGTGATAACAAAGCGGACAATGTTGCTCGCGTGATCGGCCCGCTTCATCATGTCCGTTCTCGTGCCTCGCACTAATGCAATGTGGCTGATGCATAATATTACACGTTTTTGATCGCCTGACGCGGAGTAATCAGATGGAACGGAATGCGATTTTGTTACAAATATCAGGAGAGAACATTGATAATCGGGTGAAAAACTGGTTTCCTGTAAATTTCGATATTTTTTTTTTTTTTTATATCGACAGTAACACAACCACTGTGCACTAACTAATCCTGTCGTGATTGAAAACGGAATAGCGAATAAATTCGGGCGGTTTAATTATAAAAGCGGCGGATGAAATAACAGCGTTTCGATTTGGAGGTTGAACCAGATTCTCCCTTCCCTCCTTCACGTACGTTACACGCTCCGATTATTTTCGATCGGTTCGTGGATATTCGTCGTTCGATCAGGCGTAAATTAGATATTCGTCACCAACTGTCGATGACTATTGGCTTGGACCGAATTAACAATCAAATATGATTAGGATCGTGATCCATATCGGGAATGAAATTTCGAGCCAAATGGTGCTCATAATGAAACATTTTTTTTTCTTACAAAATTTTAGGTTAAGTGTAATCGAGAACTGCGTTTGATCTGGTGTATCAATCGTTTCCAAATACATTATACATTATAATCATAAACGAAACGCTTGTGTCATATTGTTAATCGCTCCTGATAAAAATAATTATCAGAAATAGAAAAGCGTGAAGAGACAATTTCTTTTAAAAAGTGCAAATAGATAATAGAACTATAGTGTTAAAGATATAAAGAAATTTATATGAAGTTATCAAGATTATTTAACAGAGGAAGAGTAATTTTTAATATTTGCGCAAAAATATTATTAAACAAAATTAAATGTATAAGTACCTGAATGGGAGTCAGAAAATTAAAAATTAATTAAATAAGTAATAAAAAGAGTAAAAGAATAAAAAGAGAGAAATTAATCAGAAAGAAATTAACGATGTTAATGCAAATTAAAATAATTACAAATATTGTCTATACGTTTCGGTTTATATTAAATCATCTTTTCAATGAACATTTTCAAAAACTGATTTACAAAAACGTATGTATGAAGTTACTAGTCAAGCGCTACATAATAATATCGTTCAATAGAGAATATTTTTATACATTTCGTTTAATTCATAAAAGATTTGTAATTACTTCTGGTGTAAAATCAAAAATAGTCATAATAATTCGAATATAAATAAAATTAGTTTCAACCAGGCTAATTTGTAATAAATTGGAAAAATAGATGTGAAGAGCAGTGATGCATAAAGCAGTGAATCAAATGATCTATTTAACCGTGATAAATAGGAAAAGGAAAAGACAAAGCCGTCATAGAGACGAGAAAGACAATATGTAGACCGATTCGGAAGTGCAATGAGAAAAGTGAAAGACACTAAGTGGAAAGAGGAGGAAATGGTCAGCCAGACAGGCCGAATCCACCTCCGACCGCAACTAACAACTATCCAAGTTAGCTAGCCGAGGTCAGAGTGAGAGAAATTTCTCGCTGAGAACTGCCGGCGCTCTGGTAAAGTGTGCGGGATCACTTCAATTAATTAAAGTCTCGTCTCGAGGAAACTTTGCCTTTGTGGGTATCGTGGGAGCGTACAATGACTCGGGACTACCGGATGACTTGACCCGTGACCGACGTGCAAACTGAAAATTAATTTTTCAAGAACACATTAGCTCAGTACGATCTTTTCTTTTTTGGTAATGATTTAGACATAAAAAATACGAATTTTTAATTTCTGATACGTAGCGAATACGAATAGAGGGTTCCAAAGTATAAGTGATGGCTTGTTAACCAAAAGTGAGATCGATTAGAGATCGATAGAAACACTGATGACTGGACAAGTTAAGCTTGGATTTCGATGGGTCTCTTCAGTGAGTCATTTTCAATTTGCTGCTTGTCCCTCTGCAAATACCGAGATCAATTTATAATGGGCGCTCATTGTTTCATCGATTCGCCATAACTATACTGTCCCGATGCAATTGCATTTATTCGTAATCATTCGTGTCATGTTTCGTACGTATATAAATGTGCGTTCACAGGGGCATTCATAAGAGGAAAGATATTTAATCCTAGAATGCTACTGACATTGAGTGATACAGTTGTTGTTGCTATATTGATAGATAAATTTTGCTGGGGAAATAGGCTACTTTTAATTAATATAATTTTTACACAGATTTTCATACATTTCACACTTTTAATAACAAAATATTTATAAGGCTTTTATTTTGGGGATTGGGAAAGTTAAAGTAACTATAAAAGTAACTATAATTGTAAAAGTAACTATAATTACAGTTTTTCTATATAATATAACTATAAATACAGTTTTTCTTCTTAAAAAATAATTAGTTACTGTCACAAATTATCGTCATAATTTTATAAGAATTTAAAATGTAGTTAATCGTTACTTTTTAGTCATTTTTCTGTTAATTTATTGTAATTTTTTGCATTGCTATTTTAAATACAAAAATTTTATACATTTCTAACATTACTGATTTATCTTAATTATTATACTAAACATTCACATATTAAAAGACTTCTAGTTTTATTCTTAATGCAGACATTTGCAGATATGATTTTATTAGGGATAAAGATGTATTCTAATCACAACAAATAATAATCACTGATCAATCCATATTAAAGAAAAAGTTTAAAATATATAAAGTAATCATAAAACTCTAATTATTAAATTAGTTATCAAAAAATAACTAATAATAAATTTGATAGCATACTCAGTGCGCTTTGACGCACATTAAAGCTATCATATACAAATTGACATAAAGATATGTGTTTAATATAAATGTAGATGTTGGTTAAACGTAAAATCCTCAACACACTTTATTGTACTATTAGATAAAATATTGTATTTTATAATTCAAAATATTTCATTTCACTTTTACATTCCGATTTAATCAATCGGCTTTAATGTGCATCAATGCACACTAATGTCAACCAAATTTGCCATAAATTTAGTTATTGTTGTAGATAGAAAGAAGGAACAAAGTTAAGTTACAGTCTGAAAAAAGCAACTTTAACTGTAACTT